AGTTGGAGGACTTTTTTTTTTTTTTAATTTTCTGTTTAATGATATTTAAACAAAATTCTTTTGCAGATAATTTTGAGATAATTATTAGAAGGTATTTTCATAGTGTAAGATTTTCATTTCCAAAGTCAATATTTCTCAAACTAGAATCCTCAGACATATTCTCAGGAAAGAAGATATTTGTTCCTCCCTTTAACAGGTCTCTGCTCAAGTTTGAGAAATAATGTTCTCGGGCTTCCCCCTTCATGAACAGGCTTGTGATAATTCAGCAGCCCTGTTTCTCTCTCCTACCATACCCTCTCCCTCCTCCTCCCCCTCCCCTGTACCCTCAGCCTTATCAGCATCCCATTCCCCACAAACCCAAGGAGGGGGCAGTCCCTGGGGGACACCCTTGGGGTTGGGGGGGGAAGTTGAAACCTATGTCCTTTCTCCACTATTCTTCCTGACACTTCTAAAAACACCGAGGGGTCCTCTCTCACCTTCTCTGACATTTAATGCAACCTCTAAACCTCAAACTCTGAGCATACGAAGGGAATGAACAAGAGATGAGGCGAGGTGGGCTTTGATTTAAAAGTCACACCATCAAGAGCCCGTCACCACAGAGGGAGCCCCTGCAGCCCCACCAGGGCCTAAATGAGACCATTAGAGGCCCTAAGAACTGACAAGATTATTTATGATTTATAACCACCATGTGTAACGCGATTTAAAATCATCCTAATCAATCAGGGGCACCTGGGTGGCTCAGTTGGTTAAGTGTCTGACTCTTGTTTCAGCTCTGGTCATGATCTCTTGGTTTCTGCGTTCAAGCCCCACATCAGGCTCTATGCTGACAGTGCAGAGCCTGCTTGGGATTCTCTCTCTCCCTCTCTCTCTGCCCCTCCCCTGCTCACTCTCTCTCTCTCAAAATAAATAAGTAAACTTCTTAAAGTTTTAAAATCATCCTAATCCATAAAATGAGAATAAAGGGGTCAATGTGAGTTCTAATTATTCATATAATGACAACTGTGATGTACTTTTTGAAATGTCAAGGGGGTGTGTGTGTGTGTGTGTGTGTGAGCCCTTTGGAAACCCAGCATCCCCTCCCCCGCAACGCTTTCACACAGTCACTATTCAGGCCCTGCTAGGAAGTGTCACTGTTGAAAGACCCTTAGTTGGGGACCAGAAGGGTGGGAGGGGTCTATCTGGAGAGCAGGGAAGGGAGGGAGCCCCCTTCCACTCTAGCCTCCATCCTGGCCGTTGTCTGTCCTCCATGAGCCTCTTGAAGGTGGAGTATTGGAATGTCAGCTGTCTGGGGCCATCTCATACCTGTCTTGATATATTTACCTACCCACTTCCAGTAAGCTTGTGGGCAGAACTCTTGACAGCTGCTAGCATGCCTTGTCCCCACCCCCGTCCCCCAAGATCTCTTTTACTGTCCATCCCAGAGGCTGCCCACTCGAGAGAAGATTCCAGACCTACAACTCGGCCTTTCCATGTCCACCAATAGGAGCAAAGAAGTGAAACTCTTTGTTTCAGCCCAGAGCAGGCAAGAGTTTGGGCTGAGAGGCTCATTAAAGCGTTTTAATAAGCAATTAACTCAAAGGATGAGCCCTTTGGCTGGTCTGGAACTTCCTCCTCCCAGAGAGGGAGTCTGGCAGAGAAAGGCTAAGTGGGTGGGCAGAGTGGGTTTAGTCAGTAGCTTGGGGCCCCTCTCCTCCCCCTCTAAATACAAATAAATAAACAGAACTCAGAGTGGGCAGAGGCAAAGGCCAAGGCCCGGGCTTCCACCAGGCACAGGGTTCTATCGGTTTTCTGTCGAGGCCGAAGCCAGGCTTAGGGAGGCAAGGGTATGCAGTCCCTCTGAGCTGGGGGCCTTCGAGGGCTGGGAACAGTCCCCTCCTGTGACGTCCCCGGCTCACAGAGTGTTGCCCAAGGATGGGCAGCTCCTCCCACCTGCCTCCATACCTACTGGACCTCCTGTTCCACCTGCCAGAGCCCTGACCCAATTCAGACCATTCCCCCTACCACTCTCCTCAGGGTATGGGGCTGAAGACCTGAGAAAGAGCCCTGGAGGGCAGGAGGAGGGCGCTGTGGCTCCGGCAGTGGTTCTAAGGTGGAAAGGGGCCATTGCAACTTGACACCTGTTCAGCCCACTTACATAGAGTCCTGAGTCAGATGCGGGCCATGGCAGGGAACCCAGGGCAGGCGAAATATCTAATTTGGGGCTCAGTGGGCTAACCAATCTGCTTGAACCATTCCCTGGCTCTTTCCTGGAGGGGGTGGGGCTCCTGTCTTGCACCATTTACAAGAAAGGGGGCACCATTTACACAGAAAGCAACATGGTTGTAGTGGTGAAACCTCATCCCCGCTCCAGCCACACTTTCTGGCTTGTAACAGCACGTTCTCCTGTCTGTGTTCTCTCTCTTCCTTCAGGCTCTTGAGCAACAACAAGATTACTGGGCTGCGGAATGGATCCTTCCTGGGACTGTCCCTGCTGGAGAAGCTGTAAGTGTTGGGGCAAAGTGGGGCGGAGGTGGGGGATAACGGTCATGGGCAAAAAGTCAGTCCAGGCAGGAGGGGGAACACTGGGTGCCGAGGGACTTCTCAACCCTAGGACCTGCTGGCTAAGCAGGGCCCAGAGTTAGACCCGCGAGACTTGACCACCAGGTGAAGGGTATAGAGAGAGACCGGCTCCTTCAACCAGTGACGGCAGCAAGAAGTAGGGAAGCCT